TGCCTCTAATTAGCTGCTGTTTGGGGAGGATGTTAGTAATCTCCACTCTTTCCCCACCACTGCCAGCATGTTTCTACCTTATGTGCCCAGATTCATCATCATTTACATGCCGGAGTAATTCAAGGATTGATAATTAATGAAGGCCTGTTAATCAGTTTATGCTTATTTAGATTTCAATCTGCATTCACCCAATTTAACCTGGTGAGAGTGCTAATAATGCAGCTGCACTAATCAGAGTATTACCTTAATCTGGATCTGATGAAATCGTTATTGTTTATGTAAATGATTCTTCACACCACGTCGAGCTCCACAAAGCTTCAGCCTGATTTTTTTTCTTTCTGCCTCTAGCGTTTTTTGAAAGATGGAACGGCGCCACAGAATGAACTCTGCACTCGACGTTACATCCGCCGCGTGCTTTGCTAGATTAGATCGCACACTGACCGTGTCACTCAGGCAAGCGCGTTTGCAGCCGGGCGTCCGTGTGAATCAAACCCCAAATCCCTACAGCGCTACTCTAACCCAGTGAACGTTACTCATTCACGTTTACAACCACAGCTTTTTTGGCAGCTCCTCTGGGATTTGACCCTGTCACCTTCACAGTGCAGGGGTGACGCAAGGGTGAATTCCTCTTCTCGTCTTTCTCGGTACAGATTTATTTCTGTTGTTTGTTTTGTTGCAATCAACCACGTCCTGCTCTGATTCTGTCACATAAAACATTATAATTATAAAACGATTACACCAATTCCACCCTGTGTCGTTCGCTGCTGATTTGACTCCAGTGTGTGAAATTAGCCTCATGTTTCTACTTAATAAATGTATAAACGTGATTACCTCGTGCTGAACGACAGTCAGATGTAGGGCCGGAGAAAATGTTTTGATTTTCCAGTGAATTGTGATTTCTTCTGTTTGAATGATTGATTTGAAAAATCCTGAGATTGATCTTTGCATTTGCTCCTTTTTCTCAGTGAACATGTGGTGTGTGTGCAGCACAGTTACTCAGTGTGAGATGTATAGTGTGTTATTTTAAAGTGATGTTGACGGTAGACATACATATGACCCGCCGAAGTCGCGGCGGTCTTGTAAAGTTGGACGTGAATTCACAGGACTGTCGTGACTCGGGAGGATTCGCTGACTCGCAGCCGATGCAGATGTAGTGACGCTCTTGCAAGTGGTGCAGGCTTTTTATTTTTGCTTTACTGTTTTGCACGTGCAGACCTAGATTAGTTGTTTTGCATTTGCTAAGATAAATAGATCCAAGAGTTTTAAACCAGTTACAGCGGGAAACAAAGTTCAATTTGTACTAGCTATTATATGTTCAAGAAAACAGCAGTGTTAAATGCAGAGGAAATTTAAGTTGCTGTTACGCAACATTGGTATTTTTCTAATAAGACTTGGAGAAAAAAATCTAATCAAAGTGATTCTGGACTTGATTCTTGGACGAGGAGATCAGTGCTGATATTCAGCCCTAGTTGGATAACAAATATTAATTCTCCAAACTCTTGTCTTCTCTTTTTTTGTTCCTTCCAGATCTCAATGACTCGTTGAAAAAAAAACTATAAAAAACTATAAATCCAGACCACAAACCCACTTTTCTAACCTCAGGGTTACCAATGCAACGCTGCAAAGGCCTGCTGGGGGTTTGTCCTTTTCTTAATCACAACTGTTAAAACCCACACAAGTGATGATAGGGGTGGTCATGTATTTGGGAGAGAAAGCAATACAAAGTCAGGGTGCAGTATTTACAAGTTTAATCTTGTGCATTTAAATGTGCAATCTGACAGGTGCATTAAAGTCATTTTATTTAAGAAGGGGAAGAGGAAGCCACCTTGGTCATCCTCTGGGTATTTCATGACTTATGCTTTTAATTTGAAGTGGGTTTTATTTGGAGCCGACTATGAATGCTTCCTGCTGTTACTGGAAAGAAGGTGTATTTACTGCCATCGCATCTGTGGAAACATGGTGCGTCTTATCAGGAAAAAAAAAAGAAGAAAAGTTAAACACCTTCACACCACAGTTAGAGGCTGATGTGACATTTCTGGTGGAGCAGATAAGTCCACATCGCAGATCGAATTGCATCGACGCGGCGCAGTGTGTCGAAAAATAACATTTAAAGAGCAGTTTTGAAAGAAAAGCTCGACTAAACTTTCAGAGGTTTGAAACAACCAGGGTGAAGATCAGGTCTTTTTATGTTTCACTATGTTTGGTATAAATACAAGAAGTGATGAGTTGGCAGGTGGTAGCGTGCAGAAACTAAATGTTAATTAACAGAAAATCCAAGGGGAAAGCATCGGTCTTACCCACGCTGCTTAGTTAACAAGGGGCTTCCTGGTGGCTGCAGAGGAGAAAACACCACCACAGTGTCCGATTAGCCTCAGAGATACACTGCCAAAGTCATGTCAAACTTAACTCATGGATTTCCCGGCAGAGTAACGTGTAGTTTATAGTCAATTGTGCTGTAATGTCTTCTGCCAGCACATAATTTAACGTCCGGGCTTTGTAATATATAATTTTGTTTTCACTCTCTTCTCTCACACCCTCAGCCATTTTTATCGTCCTCACCCTCACCTTGGCGTCTCTTACACCCTCTTAATCCAATTTTAACACTTCTTGGAAAATAAATATCACCCCTGCCACTCCTGTGCCCGACCGTCAGCTTTCTAGTGGCGGTAAGAAGCAGTCTGGACCAGGCCTCGGATACTCATCCCTCTCTCCTGCCTGTAATTGCTTCATTAGAGCCTCTGCAGCGTCTCTGCCTGGTGGCTCGGGAGATTTAATAAGAGCTCCGAGGATGCTCTCACACTCCTGCGTCTGGGCTGCTAGGATATTGCTGTGGAATTTCTAATATCCGGGCTCCTTTCCAGCGAAGACAGAAAGTCAAAGAACATCAAACTAAGTACATTCCTGGATCCCCCACAGTCGAGCACGAGACAAAAAGAAAACAGCCTTTTTGTACAGCAGCTACATCCCCGGCGGCTGCTGCCTCTTCCAGCCGCCGAGGCCGTGAAACAGAGAGTGGATTCGGTTTCCCGTTGGGCCATTTTCTGAGAGAGGAGTCTTCAGCGAGATGTGGGACAGTCGGTCGACGTAATGGGCTCATATAGAAGAAACGAATCAGTAAACTTAAAGCTTCACCGGCCCCCCCCCCCCAACCATTTTCAGCCACCTCCTATCTACTTTTCTTTTTCTTTTTTCCATCACTTTCCATTATCTTGTGCAATCTGAGTCAAATCTCATCACTTGCTTCACTGCTGTTTCTCACTTTGCGGGACGATAGCGCTCCAGTGTTTTAGAAAATGAACGTTGAAAGTCCTCTGTACCATTGGTGTCCCCTTTAAATACTGTGAGGACATCGTTCCACTGGTTTTCTTTTATTAATGACAGACAGGAAGGGGGTGTATTACCAACTGGTGCTACCCTTTCAAGGTATAGAAAACTTGTATGTTTGGGATGGTCTCAGGCAAAAGACTTACTGTATCTTTAAAATTTGTAAAAATTGGATTCGCTTTGATGGAACTGGCTCTGGTGAAAGGTTGCGATGACATTTGGGTTGAGATCAAGATATGAACTCTACAGCCCGATAAAGACGGCCTCGATTATCTGCTTCCTGCTGAGCGTAGGAAAATCAGCTGTTTCTGTACAAATATCACATTTTTTTGTTGCAGCTTTCTGAGCAGTGAGTCGATGTGATATTTAAACGCTAAAGTTTTTTTTCATCCAGATCCAAGATATTTCTACTCCGAGACTCTCTTTATACTAAGAACATTTAGAGAGGTAACATGAACATCGCTGTCAACAACATCTCTGGCTCTAAGCATGAATTTAGGCGTCTGCTCTCAGGATTGATTTCAAATTAAGAAGTGCAGCATTTAATCAAAGGCTTGTTGTCAGATTTCAGCGTTTGGATCAATAGAAAAAATGGAGACCAATTTGTAAATAGCTCAAATCATCAATCATTCAAACTTTGGAAATCTAGGAAACCAAATATATTCCTAAATTTTTCATCATCTTCCGTCACTTGAGCCACAGTCTTATCACTCTCCTTGCTTCTATTTTTTCCCCCCTGTCGGGACGGTGGAGTCACAATGTGAAGAAAAACTCACCCTAAAGCCAGTCTGTTGGATACATGTCAGTTAAAAACAATCATCTAAATCTAAATGTCCTCGCAGTGGGGCCGCAGCTGTCGCTCTCTATTTTCTGAGTATCTTCTATAAAAGGAGAGACGGTGTCGGAAAACTGTCAGTGATGACAGTTTGGATCGTGTCGAAATAGCGGTCGGTACAATTTCAAATTCCTGGACTGCAACAGTTAATTATAATTACCACTGCTTAAACCATTAACAATCTTTGTAATGTGCATTTAAAATGGGGGAAATGATAGCTGGAGCAGCAATATAATAAACCCTGAGGGCAGGTGCAGTAGGTGTTATACAAGAACCTAAGGAGAATAGTGATGTGGAGATGAAAATCGTAGCACTCGGGTGAACTTTGGAAACATCAGATATTTATTAGTCATGCAGGAGAAATTATAAGGCTTATTGTGGATTTGTGAGCTTGTCAGTTGTCTTTGATTTGTCTCTAATGACAATAATTATAAAACCACCACAGTAAATAAGCCTCAGTGTGAACGGCCTGCGGATTATAATGAGCAGTGCTTAGACTGAGCACCAGTATGAAGGGTGCTGCCACAGAGTATCTACAGTAGGACTTTACTATATATAGAAAACAGCGTGGGGGATGGGGAATTGCAGGCTGATGACCAGTGTGTGTGTGTTTGTGTTTGTGTGTGTGAAAAGGGCACATACTATTACCAGAGGAGTGTGTGTGTGTGTGTGTACAGTATGTTTTTGCCTGAATGTGTGTACGTGTGTGCATGAGTGTAGAGACAGAGGCGTAGTTTGCATATAATCACAGTTTGTGTGTGTTTGTGTGTGTGTGTGTGTGTGTGTGTGTGTGTGTGTGTGTGTGTGTGTGTGTGTGTGTGTGTGTGTGTGTCATACTCACGTGATAACCAGTGAGGTGGAGAAGAGCAGCGTTCCCAGCAGGCCACGCCGACAGTCTGCGTTCTTCCTCTGGCGCTGGTGCATCTCGCCGCCACAGTTGTCACAGCAGCGACACATGCAGAAGAAGAGACCAACTATCGGCATCAGAACGGCGAACAGCAGGCCCACCGCCGCACACACGAGGAAGCCTATCTCGTAGTAGATGGCCTGGGGTCAGCAGGTGGGGGGGGGAGGGGGGGTGGAAGGAAAGAAAAATGAAGAATGAGAAAACATAACAGAGAAAGGTGGTGAGCATGGTAATGAGATGGAGAGAAAAAGAGGAGCATCAGAGGTGAAAAAAGAGGAAAAAAGAAAACAGAGATGAAATAACGAGAGGAGCAGATGAGGTGGGGGGGGGGATGTTGAGCAGAAACAGGATTGAACCAGGAGAGAGCAGCAGATGAGTTGGGGGAGTGAGGGAGAGAAGAAAGGATAGATTAATAATGACATAAAGGAGAAGAAGGGAGGACGCACACAAGGAGGCAGAGGATAAAAATGAGCAACAAATCTAAAAATATCTGGTAGGATCCCACCGCTGGAAATTCTCTCTCTACTCTTTGTCCAAAGGGGGATTTTGTGGATAAACAATGTACACATTGCGTAACACTACTCACTGCTGGAGAATCCTTTCTTTCCAGTTCTTAAATACCAGCAGCAAATTCAATAATCGCCTCTTTAACTTCATTATTACACCAGATAAACGCAGAGACTCTTAAAAATCTGTGGGATGACAATACTCTTCTCACACACTACACTGGGTGGAACGAACAGAAAGCAATTATTAAAGGTTGTTTTTGTTTTTTTGTTTTACATAAATTCCCAATAAAGTGCAATATGCACTGAGAGGATAACGAGACGTGAAGGATGCTGGGATGGGGAATACTCAAAGGAGTCAGAGCCATCCGTGTAGCCCCTGTGGTGCAGCCCCCCCCCCCCCCCCCCCCCTCCCTCGCTCTAATGAAAGGGGAAAGACGGCATCTCTGATGAAAAACCTGCTTCAGTGGGAATGGACTACAAGGCAGTTAGTGCACTGCAGCAAAACTCCATCCTAAGAAGCAGTGGAAACAAGAAGATAAATAAGCCCCCGGGGTGAGATAATTACGCCTGTTTCACTGAAGTTCATCCCTTTTTAATGATTTCATCGAGGTGTCTGTCAGTTTCACCAAGAAAAAAAAAAACTGATGTCCTCAGTTGATGATAAATTTGAAAAGATTGAAGGATGGAGGGGAGTTTAAGAAACCATGAAATAGGTGAAATTATCTCCTGGCAGTGGCAGACTTCTGTCACTTGGTTCAAAATAGGATTTTTAGTGACACATTATAGTGTGAAAACCTTGCAACTCCAGCTTTACGGGCCGAGATTGAAGAATTACATGGTGCACCTATGAAGTGACACATTACACAGCCGATAGCAACACCCAGCTAAAACTGATGCAATCTAATACAACAGCCCTGCATCCCGTCGTCGTGGAGGCTATAACGGTTTGTCTGTCTATCGTCGAGGGCGGGATATCAGGAACACGCTCAGTATAACGTGTGCAACTCGTAGAAAGGTAGAGCCTCTAAAATGACCATAAAGTTGAATAAACGCCTCTTTAAACTAAAAGTGACCATTATACCTTCATCGAGAGAGAATTTATTTCATGGCTCTTGCATTAGTTTCGAGTAGGTGTAGCTAATAACCTGGAAAACAAGTGTATATTACCTTTGGGCTATTGGAAAAAAAAAAAACTAATCAAAACCTGACTGGATGAACGAGGAAATGCATGAGTCAGGATTCAATTGTCTTTTTTTCTTTTTTTGTTGATCTCACCTGTAAAACAGCATCATACAAGTTGCCATGCACTTGCACAGAGGGCAGGTGTTAGGGTTAAACAGTTAGTGAGTGAACAGAGCTCGTAGGTTGTGGTGAAGCGCCGGTGAGACTGTGTTAGTGTCGTCAGGAGTGAGCGGAGGAATGCTGACGGCTCGGTTGGTTGTTTGGGTTTTTTTGTTTTTTTTTGTTTTGCGTTGGGATTCCTTCTCGTCTCCGAACAGTCGGCCATGAAATCTGCACGACCCTCGTCACGCAAGTCTGGATAATCCTCGACTCTGATTGAATATCAGAAATACTCGAGGTGACTCAACGCGGCTTCTTACAAATTCCTCCTGATATATTGAGAGAGTTAAATTGCTGCTGTTGGCAGGTTCAGCTCTTCCACCTCCTCTTGTCATGTACCACAGCGCTGCTACTTAATCTGCCGCTATCTAAACCGCACTCGGCACCAGCTTTGGAAATTGGCAAAATTGAATAGGGGATTGGTAATTCCCACACCGTATGTAACTTGTCACAATGAAGTTCAATAGCATCTCATTATAAAAGGATCAAAGCGGCGCTGCTATCAGTGCTCCTGAATGGACGAACTGCTCTCCCAGCTGATTCACACTAATCTTAATCGCCCTCGTAGGTCAGTGACCCCGCCGTCGCCAGGGACTTGCAGATTTTGCTTTTTAACATGCAGAGAGAAAAAAAAAATGAAATGGCTTCTGAACATTTCAGAGAGAAATATTTCTCTCGGGTTAATTTGAAAAATCTTTGTGCAAACTTAGAAATCTCCAGTGGTGAGTATAATCCAAAAGATAGAAGCCAGTGTTTGGATGAGTGAAGATTCTGGCTGCGTCAGGAACACGACGTGGGAAGAAAAAGTGTTTCAGTCACAGCCGTCCTAACATTAAAGACGTTGCAGGGTCAGTGCGAGTCGACAGGAAAACAGCAGCACTGTGAAGATGCAGGAAAGTGAAGAAGAGGAGACTCTGGGCTTGTGTGAGTGTGTGTGTGTTTGTGTGTCCCATGTCAACTAAAAGCACCAATGTCAGGACATTGTGCAAATCTGAATGCTTGCATTGTCATTCTGCTCCTGGGCTCCGTTTGTTATTGGGTGAATCCTTACAAAAAATAAAAAAAAATAAAAAGATTTTATTTTTCCACCACCACTCTTCAAGGGGCCTCCAGCTCCAACTATTTTTGGACTCTAGCTTTGTCTTGGCAAGTGCCCAAAAGAAGGAGGTGACCTAACAAGAACAAACTGTATGATGAGATGGCGGCATGAATTCCTGTAACTTGAATCGGATTTAATCAAAGCAGCAGCCACGAGCTGCTGCAGCGTCCTCGAGCAAAGACGCCGTTACCCCGAGCTGCTCATTCACTGTAAGACGAACGCCGGAGAGACGGGAGCCGCTGTGAATCAATCACACGTCCTGATTCTTTGTTGTCTTTTGATTCGTTATCCTGACTCAGGTCCTGCCGCTCGAAAGTAAAACCGAGCGGCCGACACGGACGTGACAAAAAAAAACAAAAAAAAAACTGCAGTTCCTCAAACGGTCACTTGAGGCTGGATCCAAACGAGAGTCAGTCCCCTGTAGACTCCCATGTTAAAATGGAGCCTCTATGGGCTGTAATGTTTACACCCTGGTGTGTGAGGGGTGGATGGTAGCTTCAGGTATTGTGACAGTAAAATCACATATTTCTGGAGGAGCTGGGAAAACCGATTATCCTCCCACTTATTAATTACAAGGAGGCAGCAGGACACACACACACACACACGCGTGTGTGTGTGTGTGTGTGTGTGTGTGTGTGTGGAGGGGTTGTGTTTTGATCCTTTCCTGCATGATTTGTTTGAAGCTCTGTGGAGGACAGATGTTTTTATGAAGCTGTGGCGGAGCAGCAAACTGTGTATCAGTGGTCCAGGTCAGTGTGTGAAGATTTATAGTCGACGAAAGAGTTCTGCCAACATCAGCACGCAAAAGATCAACTGTGTGTGTGTGTGTGTGTGTGTGTGTGTGTGTGTGTTGATGTCTGGCTTATACTTGCTGTGGTTAGGGAGAATATCAGGGTGGTTAATACGGCTGAGAAGCAAATTAGATGGCTGACCAGCAGTTTCCAGGCACAGTATGAACACTGTGCGACACTTTTACACGACATCACTGCAAGTCATTACAATCCGGAAAAATTCAAGGAGCAGAATGGAGTTTAGAGTTTGCAGCTGTGGCACTAAACGTATTGATTTCACTAATTCAGCTGTAAAGAGGGAGACGACAGTAGACCGATGCATCGCCAAACCCCATATTTGTATTTCTTCCACTGTGTTTGGTTTGATCTGGCGCTGATGGGAACGTGCTGGTTTGTGTTACATGCTGTTTTTCCTCACAGAGCCACAAGTCCTCAGCAGCCAAGTGGGGAAGCAGGGGTAATATTTATTTCACTATATGTAGAGTTTCCACCTCACTCAGCTGATCTGGTGCGTAATCACTGATTATATTAACTCATCAAGACAGAGGAGGCTCAAAGTCAATGACAAGAAATCACTTTATTTATAAAAGACAAAGCTCCTTCAGCCTCGTCTTTTATTCATTTTGAATCCCTTGTCAGATCTCTCGTCTAAAACTTTGAATTTAATTTCAAAGTACTAACTGAGCGTCGGCGATGCAGTCAGCACTGTTGCTCCTCCACGAAGCTGAAAAGCTCTACATGACGACAAACCTCAAAGGACGCAGGAGCTGCAGTTTTCAAGGGTAAAGGGTTTATTCCACGGCGGTAGTGAGGTGGATGGGATGGCTGGGTGAAAGTCGTAGGGCTGCACAACTAATCACGTCGACTCCAACGATCAGTGAAACAATATAACCAGAAATGAAGCTACTGTGAGTGTCAATGTGTCAAGAAACAAAAAAGTGGGAATTTTAACTACAGTTGTGCAACCCCAGAGACTGGAGGGATGACACATGGGGGTGTGGGGGGGGTGGGGTGGGGGGGTGGTATGAAGGGTATGACTGTGAATCCAGTGTATAGACTTTACCTGAAGGGTCAGCACTATGTTCTCTGGCTGTGGGAGGCCAGATCAGATGAAGAGGGCATGCAGAAGACAAAGGCAACTCAGCGTCAAAGAAAGAGCAAAGCCACAGAACAAAAACATGTGGATGAAATAGAACAAAAAAAAAGAAAAGAAAGAGAAATTAAAGATTTCAAAACTGGCATGCATATCCACATAGTTGCATATTGCAATACTGCACACAGACAGACAGTACAGTCTCCCATAATGGAGAAAAAGGTACAAACTGCATGTTTTTTTTTTAGGTCAAAGGGCTTAAAAAAGTCTTTGGTTGTCAAAGTTTTTCATAAAAACTCACATGTTGTATCTTTCTCTAAATTCACAGCTTGTGCCAGAAGCAATTACCATTTTTTTTCTGGGGTGCCAGTAAAAAAAGATGGCCTTGCCTTGGCGTACAAAAGCTATTAACACCTGGCTCCAGAAAAGTCACGGACCACAGAGTATCTCCGAGGAACGCGTCTTCTGTAATTTATATCGTGGATCGCTATACCCAATCAGAAAAACAGAAGTCACTAAAGCAGACAGATAGGCACAGCAAAACAATCATTTAAAACACACACACACACACACACACTCTCTTACCTTTTGATATTCCGTCTGAATGGCTCCAAACTTGTCCTTTGCCAGTTTGACAATGAGATCTGCAACAGCACAGAGGAAACAAACACTGTTTTTCTGTAATGAGAATAATACGCACGGTGGAGTCCTTTATCCGACTGTTATGTTGTCGCACTGTGTGCATTTTCTGGCACGGCAGGCACCATCTGCAAACAGATCTGCTTCTAAAGTCAGAGTTGTTGTTACGCTGCACCCACTCAAACACACATTGTGAAGCAAATCTACCCAGTAACACGTAGAATATTACGGCATCGGGCCTGTAACACCAAAAATAATGGCTGCTAGGTTGTCACCAAAATGAAGAATAGGTCTTTTCAGGGTGCTACTTCGAAAGTGGAAACCCGCTGCCTTTATTCTACAGCTCATTTTATATTAATTGTGAACTTGGTATGGAAACTTTCCTAAGCCAACACCAGTGAACTGCAGAATATGGTTATTGTGAGACGTTATTTCTGTCAAGCTGAAGCAGCAAGTCGACGTTTTTGACAAGATGTTGTCAGGGAATGCAGAGCCACACTGTGACACTGCAGCGTCCCTTCATCCCATCTCCTCCCTCTGGGTTTAGAGAGGGGCAAGTCTGACACTCTGCAGAACGCTCATGTTATTTATCAGTGGACTGACATCATGTTGGTGTTGTTGATATCCTGCATCCCAGAAGGACCTGATAACGATGATATGGCTGGAAATAATGGTGAATGATTGGGGGAAACATTTCCTAAGGTGGTGTCTTCAAATATATTGTTCTTTATCCAACCAAAAAAAGGTTCAAACAGATTCAGTTTAATCTTTTAAAAGACGCTGGAATCAGGCAGTTGTTTGGTTTTTCTGCCCAAAGCCTTGTTAGTTATGAAGCTCAGATTTTTTACATGTTGCTGGATAAATGAGGCAGTTTAATTAGTTTTTTTTTTTTGATTTTGGATCAGCTCAAGGATGCAGTGGAACTTTTTGTTCCTGATTTATAATGAGGAGAGGTTGCATATATCCTAAAACTTTGCTTTTGCTCTAAATGATTTCTCTGAGCGGCTACACATGCAGTGGTCGTCATGTGTGGTCTAGTTTTCTGTCTGCATGTGTTCGGACTGATTTCCTGACGGTCACTGAACTGTCTTGAAATACCAACACACGAGGTTTGCACCAGTTGTATGTTGTAGCCAACGCATGCACAAATCAAGGACAAACAACAGTTGTTCGTAAATGACAGTTACTGAAATCCTGTGTTGGTTTAAAGAGGCGATGGAGACGTCACAAAACAAAGTAAACAATATCTCCTATCAGATACAGTATGCCGCCGTTCCCTCTTTGGTCTACACCTGGAGCAGTGCTGGGTGTGACTCATCATGTTGTGATGACAGAGACGGTAAGTCTTCTCAGACGCAGCAGGTTTCCAAAAATAAGATGCAAAACACACAGGGGCTTTTCCTCCTCCTGCATTGCGGTGTTTCCTTTCTGAAGAAAAGAACACATCCTGCAGAAGAAGCGTTTGATTCATCACAAATCAGACTAATGATCCGCGCCTATTATCCAAAGCATGAGATCTGTGTTAATAGGAGGGTGCTCCGGGCTTCTGCTTGAGCTAGTTACTGTGGCTGCTTAGGAAGAGAGGCGCTCAACATTCAGGCTGATCATGTCTAATTGCCTTTATGTAAACATTTATTAATGGAGGATTATTTGACTGAGAGAGGTTTTTACTCCTCACACTTGTATAGTTCCACACTCGTACAGGCAGCTGAGCGACAGCCATAGTAAGTAAAGTAAAGATGGATGTAGTCAGCCACGGGTTTCTGAGGAGCGGTTTTGAAGCTCAGAGTGAGCCGCTCCGCCATCGCCATCTTGCCAGCGCCCGACTCCGCCCCAAACTCCCGGCTAATACAAAAATGGGCAGAGGGGAGGGGGCGTGTGTGGGGCCCAGACTTCGGTGTGTGGCAGGCGAACGCTCACCCGCCTGTCACTCAAAGCGGCATGCCTTCAGTTATGCAGAACTTTAAGACTTAATTAACTTTAAACGAGTGAGTTATATAAACAGTTGTCATGAAGGAGGAAAGTAGCCGTAGAGACCAAAACTGTTTCTTTTGTACCAGGCTGTAAACATGTTTATTTCTGCTGTAGATTTGAACAGTGTAACACGGGAGTCTGTGGGGACCGACTCGCTGTTGGAGCCGGACTCAAGCGGCCAGTCAAAGAATATTTTCCAGCCTCGGATGTTGCCGCTCGGCTGGAGCAGGTGCAGCTACTGTAAGTGCCTTGCTTCAAGACAAGTCTGAAGTTCCTGCCAGAATCTTCCCACCGTGTTCCCACGAGTCCACTTTATAGGTCAGTCTGCCAACGTATGTGTCCAGCTTCTAGGTTAGTCGTCCGCCCCGGGATGGCTGTCGGCGGTCACTATTGTGCGTTTCGGGATGAGTTGTAAAATGATCCGGCCTTCTGGAGAAATATAAAAGTAGAGCGAGCCGAGCCCAGATATCAGCTCACCCTTTGTGTGTGCTTCAAAGAAACCCCCGACCCCGAAGTGAAGGTGTGTTTAAAGTCCTTTTGTCCCCGCAGGACGCAAACTAACAGAGGAAAACAAGGTCTGTGCAACAGCACGAGGAGGAGTACGTCACAGTATGAGAAAGTGATGGTTCAGTTTTGTGCTGACCTCGATGAAAGGCAGAGGCTTACGGGGTGGAGAAGATTAAGGCTGCAACCATTAGTCGATTAATTGATTAGTAGATCGACAGAAAATTAATCAACAACTATTTAGATAATTAAATAATCGTTTTAATCTTTCTTTTTTTTTTTACCAAAAATTTGAAATAGTTTTTCTTTGTCACACACGACAGTAAACTGAATACTGAAATATCGGTGAATTAGATTATATCTTTGAATGAAAAGTGATTTCCTCAACATCGACTCTTTTGATTCATTATTTTCTCACTCTGCAGTTTTGTTGTGATGCAGGAGCCGGAGTTTTGTTCACGTACCGCAGTGAGGGCGTACGAACACACGACTGTGGCACTGGACTCGTGTCTCAAATCTTAACCGAGGGCTAGTTGCCAGAAGTGAGTGTAATCCCAGAGGCAGTGCGATTTCTCTGAACCATGTTAGTCAGTGCAAATTAGTTTTACATGAAGCACATCAGTAGAAGACACTGTTGACGGCACAGAACGGCTTGTGTTGACCACCTTACAGTGAGAGGAGAGAGAAGGCTGCCACTGAAACCAATCAGTGTGTGTGTGTGTGTGTGTGTGTGTGAGATGAACACAGTGTGAATGAATGAAAAGTAGATCGTACTCGACATCACTTTATCACAGAAATTGAAAATAAAAATCTGTAGGTTTAACTCTACCAAAGAAGTTTTTTTCTGCCTCAGAGAAATCTTGGAGCAACCAAAACCTCTTTGGAAAAATGAATGAATGAATCATTAATGGGGAAACTCAACTAAGAGGAGAGCATGAGGAATAAAAGAAGCAGTGGGAAGATGGAGGAATGAGAGAGAGAGAGAGAGAGAGAGAGAGAGGGGAAGGACGGAGAGAGATCAAAGACAGAAGGACGAGCGAGGAGTAAAATAAGAGAGGTGAAATAGAGAAAAGTAGCGAGGAGAGAGAGCTGGACCCAATCCAACCTCTGTTTCCAGTGAGAGGCGTTTAATCCCTCTCCATGAACCAAAAGCTCACTTGATGCTGGTTTCCACCCACGTTAACCCTCTCCTCTCCGGCCTCTCTGCTGCGACAGGCACACGGACGCTTATTTGTCAGGATGCTGTAACCTTTGACCTTTGAGAACTTAAGTTTTACGACAGTTCTCTGGATTATGAACTGCTCGTACAGATTTGAAAATGTGAAGGTAAATGTAGAGAATTAATGTAAATGTAAATGCGTAGCAGGCGCCGGCTTCCGGAGCTCCTCGGCCCTGAACCGAATCGAGGCAGCGGATTTAACGAGGCTTTGCAAGGCAGCTCGAGATAAAGGCAAAAAACAGGAAAGATGAATTTTTCTTTAGTTTCACCAGAGGGGAGTCGCCCGCCCGCCTGCCGCCCGCCCGACCAGAGGAATCCAGGAATACACTCTACACACATTAGGCTTTGTAAAGTTTGGTTTTGTTCCCGCCGCCCGGGTGGGTGCAGGGCTTGCAGACAGAGCATGAACTCAGCTAGCGTGTTTACCGAACAGCCCTGTGTCATTCAGGGGGATTCTTTTTAAAAAGCAGGGAGTGAAAATAAATCTGATTCCAGTCCATGTAACCTTAGCTTAGCATTAGCACGGATTCATCTGCACTCTTTCCCCTCATTTACCCTCTGCTGTGTTCAGCATCCTGCCCCTTGTACACATACACAGTATATATATATATATATATATAAAATTAGAAATATTCTCTAGTTCTGTCACAAATGTGAGGACTTTGTAAAGATCCTTTGAAAAGATATTCATTCGACATTCTATGGATAAAACAACAAACTAATTGATCCAGAAAACAGAAGAACAGAAATTTTAAATCCACAACTGAAAACTGGAGTTGATGGAATAAACTGACGGAGGCCAAGCGCTGGATTTGCATGAGATGCCGCATCTGCAGTCATTGTATGCTGTAGCATAAGACTGTGTATTTAATTTGTTAATTAAAGAGACACAAGAGGAAAACAATCAGAGCAAACAAACTGCGATGTGTGACTGCTAATCCTCGCAGCAGCCCCTCTGGGTGTCCATTGGAAAAAAAAACAGAAAGGCGATTAGTGCCATGGATTAAATGATTTTACAGAAGTGTTTCGAGCCCGAACACGATAAACACCGAGTTCATCTGCGCGTCGAGTGTCGATAAGGATTTGAAGCTGAAAGGCTCCTGCGTTGAGTGAAACACACACGGCGGCATGAAGCTACGCCAACGTCTCCGCCACAAACTGTGATGACGTAAGAGCAGAACGTGGCAGCTGTTTGGGATTTTTATTAAAATTTTAAAAAACAAGCTGAGACCGTACAGCAGAGGAATCCAATCATTTCCCTTTTTTTTTAAAGAGCATCAGAAGCTTTTTATCTGCGGCCTATGATCA